CGCTCCTGCTCTGGGCGTTTGCGTGGCTGGCTAGAAAGGTGTCGGCGGCTACGGCGGCGCGCACCCGCCCTCCATTAAACAGCTTAACGCTGCCGTTGCTGGCTCGTGTTCGGCGCCGCGCCTGTCTTTCTGCCTCTCCCCCCCCCCTTTCCTTTTTCCTGTGCGCGCTCCCGTTCTGGCCCCTTCGTGTGTGAGTGTGCACAAGTGGGGGAGGGGAGTGAATGAGGCGGCTCTGCCTTTCGCCGGTTTCTCTCCGTATCCATCCCCTCCATGGTCCCCGCTCCCCCCCATTAGGTTAGGGGGTGCCGCGACGGAGGGTGTGGAGAAAGGTGAGGACCTGGCGGCGGCAGCAGGAACCAGAGTGCCGGAGACACGCGGGTGGAGGCTGAGGCCCGCAGAAGGAAGGAACAAGGAGCGGCGGCGGCAGCAGCTGGAGGGATTCCCGGCGTGGCCCCTAGCATCTCCTGGGCGGATTTTGTCTGTGGCGTGTGAAGCGAGAGGGATTTAACGCGGTAGTGACTATCGGCGGCGGCGGCGGTGGTGGCGGCGCGTAGTGCGGGAAGCGCGGAGGGGATCGTGCCCGCGCCCCCCCTCCCGCCTCGGCCGCCTGTGTGGCTAATTCTCCCCTATCTGGACCATGGCCGACGACGACGTGCTCTTCGAGGATGTGTATGAGCTCTGCGAGGTGATCGGCAAGTAAGTTGGGGGAGGCAGATGGAGGGGAGGGGAGGGGGTGGAGGCGGCCAGAGTAGCAGCCAGCTGCAAAGCCTCCTCCCCAACGGGAGGGGGGGGAGAGATGCTCGGCTCCCACCTGAGCTGTTGCTGTCGCTGTGCCTGTCTGAGGAAGGGAGGAGAAGGACCGCTCCATGGCGCTGGGGCAGAGTGACACGATAAGTGAATTCGCAGTAGCGCCCACGCGCTTTCACACGATAGGAGGAGTGACCTGATAGGGTTTGTCTCCCCTCACCACGATCTGACCCTGTTTGGTTGGATGGTTGCTGCCGCTACCCTGGAACGCTGGCCCGGATCTATGGGACCACTTGCCTCCCAGGAAGGCAGACAAGGAAGAGACGGGGAGGTGTTTTCCTCCACATCTCTGCTGCTCTGTGATGTCTCTGTGTTTGTGCGCCAGGTGCCTTCCTGTGCTCTGCTGCATAATAACCAGCTCATTAACGGCAATGTAAGTGACGCTCAGGTGATGCCTGGTTTCTCTGTAGATCTTTCTCCTCCCACTTGGAATAATGAGGAAGAGTGTGGAAGATTTTGGCCTTGTATGGCTTATTATGCAACAGCCTTAAATCGATGTTCAAAGCGTGTATTAAACTCAAGTTGCCAGGGCTGCTAACAGGCCACTTTTTTGAGTGGCTGGGGTGTGATCTGTTTGATAGGTTGTTTGAAAATGGCAGCTCATGATTATGGCTTGTGTAGCATTATAATATAAGGAAATAAAATTATCACAGTTAAAGGAAGTGAAAACAGCTTATTTCTCTCTGTAGATAGCCTATTGATGACACAGATTTTGGCAGCTTACTTTCTTTTTTCTCTTTTGTGACTATTGGTAATGAGACAAAAACAAAATGGGAATGGAGTATTCTAGAGGAATTAGTAGCTTTATGTTTTCTGCAAACTGAAGGTACTGAATCAGTTAGGTGGATTTGCTGTTGCTGACCAGTTTTTATAGGAATGACAAGATACCTTTGTCATGTCACTGTTTTAGTTTGCTTTTGTGCAAAAGAAGCATTGTAGCATACTTTTGTCATGTTCATTAAAATGAAATATTTGGGCGCATATGGTTGTGTATGTTGAAGTGCCTTCAAATTCTGATAGTCAATTTAACTTGGCTTTGCCCATTGTACATACACACAGATTTTTCTTCACATGGTCACAACCTTAATAGTACCAATGGATAGAGCTGTGTCAGTTTCCTAGTGCTTAAACTTTTGTGTATGTGCATGCACATAATTATATTCTACATCATTAAGCCATGTAAAATGGTGTGTTTTATTGTTTAATTTTTGCAATAAATGTATACAATTGCTGATGTCTTCCCCCCAACTTTTTCTTGTTAGCATGTTACACTTCATACTGTGCAAACAAAATCATTTTTTAAACTGCGCTGAAGCCATACTTCCTCAAGTTATCTCATTTATTGTTACAAAAAAATAGTGCACTTCTGTTGCTAAGATCATGAATAAAGAAATCCCAGAATGAATCCTCAGGTAAATACTAACCCCAGTGAACTCACTAGGTGGCCTTAGACAAGCCAGTTTCTCTTAGCCCTGTTTTGTAATATAGGGATATTGGCCTGTCTCACAGGGTTGTCATCACTGCTGAGATAATGTTCATGAAATGGTTTAAGCACTTCAGAAGATAATCCAAATCTGCAAGTGTTGCTAGCACAGATCAGATGTTATTAGTAGTGTGATGAGTGACAACTCCTTGTTTCCCTTCTTGATGCTTATACCACTTTGTGGATTTTCTGTGAATTTTTACTTTAATATACATAGGAGGATGAACATTCCCTGCTATACAGTTCCTACGTGAAATGACTCTAGTGATTTGTCATAGAAATGGTAAGTGGCTAGAAGGGTAGCAAGGTGTGGAGTCAGGAAATTGCATTCTGGGCCACACAGGTAGCAAAACTCCCAAGAGATGTGGGTAGTGCTGTTGCATTTGGGTAGGTTGGAGGGGATTATGGGAGCCTGACTACTTAGATATGGCTTTACATACCTAAATTAGTTTTTAAAAGTGTTTCTGGCCTTTTAACATGCTTAATAGGGAAAATGCATGTAGTAATTTATTCTACTCAGTTGATCAGTAGGAAATAAACCTGTTTCTTCCAGTGTTCTGACAAATGAGTGCAAAAATAGTAGAACAAATGAAAATCATTTAATTCTTTTTTGGAAATTTTTTAAAAACTGACTAAAGATTACTTGTACTGAGAGTTTGTGCTGATCATTGCAGTAATCATCTTTATCTCTGTAATCAGTGTTTTGGACTCTGTTGATTGGTACAGTTGAGTTTTTTCCTATGTTGATTCAGGCCTATGGAGGAAGGCCAGAATGAAGGGCCTTTGAATGCTGTGTATACATCTTGCTAAATGATTATTCAGCATACAGAAATGTGAAGCTCAATTTGATATGCTGAAATAATTTGGTCTCCAATTTTAGAGTATTTCATATAATTTAAAGCTTAAACATCTTCAGTCAAGAATGATCTGCTGCTCACTGTGGAAAGAACATTATTTTAAGGGAGTCTGTCTTATGAGGTACTGGTAAAAATTGCTGGGATGATGATGGGGCTGAAGGAAGATTTTAATTTTTTTTAACTAGATCAACTCAAATATGTTTTTTCAAGGGTGATCTGGAAAATATGCATATTGATTTTGTGTATGAAGTCCCTTTTTCCTTCAAAGGAGGAGAAAGCATTACCTATGCAATATAAATTACAAGGGTTGTTATGTTTTACAGGCTTATACTTAAGCACCAGAATTAACTGACTGTGCAGTTGTCTAAACAATTTTTCACCATGTAAGGATTTACCAAAGAAATCTGACATTTTTGTCTCAGACTGGCATGCACCTGTTGCCTCTTCTGAAACCAGAAATGAAAATTTTCTAATTTATTGGATCATCCCCAATTGTTTTTTTAAAAAACAAAATAAACAAACCTGTCTCAAAGCATCTTACAGTTGGTTTGGGACAGTTCTACATAGCTGGACTTTCAGGCTAGCATGGAAATGCATCTAGTACGTGATGCTTGACATTGACCACTGAGGACCATATTGCAGTGATCTCCAGTGTGTTGTCTGAGGTGCCATGGTGCCCACTGGTGTTTCTGGGCATTCCACTTTTTCTCGAAAATTAGGCATAAAATACAAAGTGTCACATGTGGGATAGGGAGAAAACAGAGTTGCTAACTGACTAGCCGAGTACTAAGCTCATCCCAGGCAGGCTCATGGGAGCCATGTGTTTTTGGCTTAGCCAATGACATAGGCTTTCTCTGAGCTTCGGAACCTCTCCCTGTAGTAAGGTTGGGTGTCTTTGGAAACTGAAACTAACTAGTGTCTTTTCCTCAAAGCAAATAAGTCATCCTGGCTTTCCTCCACTTGTCCAATGCAGGAGATGCTTTAGAAGAGCCTTTGTGTTTGTCAGGAGCACCCATTTCAGAAGTATCTTCCTGTAACACAAGGGGAATCTCATGGGCCCCCCACTTGTTTAAACTTAATGTTGCCAACATTAAATTACAACTTCATTTATACTGGAATATCCTCCCTGTTATAATTTGGTTGTTATGCCAATAAAGGTTGTTTGTTTGTTTGTTGTTACTGGAATAGTTTAGAATGCTTTTCTAAGTTTCATAGTTTAGAAAAACAAAAACCTTGCTTGTGTCTTAATAGTCAGATAACTTTTGTATAAACAGTGCTTATTTCCATGCAGTGTTTTTGTAAGACTGTGGACTATTTCTAGTTTGAGTAAGTGGTGCGTTCGGTAGGTTTGTATGTTCAGATGTCCAAAGGACTTTGTGGTTTTTGCAATGCTATGCACTATTTATTCATAAACATATTTATAACCCACCTTTCGTTGTGGCTTAAGGAGACTTAGAATTCATAATTAAAATCATGAAAATCTAAAAGAAGCAAAATAAAACCCAAAATGACCCTCTTACCCCAAAAGATATTTGCAACTTTAATACCTCATTAAAAGCCTTGGCAAATAAAATGACTAAATAAAATTATTTCAGTGAAAGTGGTATCGGAGAAAGAGAACAGAGAGCATTTCCCTAGGGCTTGTCCTCTAGGATCCTACTATATAATTTTTGTATCATTTAATGTGTGCTTTGCTTCAGTTATAGATTTCTGATGGGTTCCACAACTGTAATCCTATTGCATTGTTTATTGGATGTCCTGTCCTATGAATTATATTGACTCACTGTGTGTAATCTGCCTTAAGACCCAATGAGAAAGGTGGACTATAATGTAAATAATAATCAATCACTATTAGGAAAGTCCCTTTGGCTGCAGTAAAGAATGTGTTTGGGATGTGAGAGAAATGATCATGAATAGCTTGGCTTTTTGATAAGCTGTAAAATAAGGCATGAGACATTTCAAGGCAAATGATGACAAAATAGACATGCAGTGCAATACTAGGCAGATTTAGTCCGGTCTTGGCCATTGATTTTATTGGTTTAGAGTAACTTTGCATAGGATTGCATTGTTAGTTTGCTCTATGTTTTAAAAGTGTGTAGGTAGATAAAATGATATTTATCTTTTCATGTTTGTGGGCGAGCAAAATGGATGGGACCTGGGGGAAAATCAGTCTATGTTAATTCATGGTGTACTTTAAATCCTGTGCATTTGGGACTTAGGGCTACTTCCATTATATATTTTATAGATTAGGTGGGTAGCCATGTTGGTCTGAAGCTATAGACCAAAATTTGAATCCAGTGAACTTTCTCACATCTGTTTAACTCTTGTATTTGTATGCTAATTTGCTGCAATTCACAGGTCAACGGCATTAATCCAATCTCAGCTGTACTTATTACCCAGTTACTTATGCATCTAGACTTTCCTGGGAAGTAACCTCCCACTTCACCCTCTCTCTACCTAAGTCTAAGGCTTGAGGAAGACTGTTTCCGTGTATCTCATGAAGTGTGCCTGCACACAAACACTTATACCTAGAATTAAACTTTGTTGGT